TTATGGGACAATCAAAAACAGATTTCTTGAATACATGCAAATTTCTACATGTTAAGATTATGGAACTCACCTATTGGTTTACACTGGATTGTCGCTGGGATGAATAGAATAAAAGAAATCAGACCAAATAAGGCGCTTACACCAGGGGTTAGGCAAAACACGTGACGAATGTACGAAATGCATTCTGGACAATCAGACCTACAAAAAATATTCAAATATTAGAAGATAATTCTTACATTCCACCCAACAGTAAAGTCTGCACTATGGATGGTATGGTTAAGCGCAGGGCTGGAACAATAGTAGTCTCCTTCGCAGTCTCTCCCCTTTTGTCGGGCTTCCTGTCCCCCTCCTCAGTTCGGGAAATTTGACGAAACCGAAAGTTTGGGAATATATTGTGGAAAACACATTACTAAAAAATGTAAATAAAAAACATCAGTCAATTTTTCTTGCAATGATTGCTTTTTCAAGAGTGCAAAGAAAGCAAAAATAGAAATTTGCCTGAATGATGTCTATATTGACTTAACCGCGATGTCTCAAGGAGGATACACCTAATTGAAGAAACGTTGTCGGCTCCAAAAAGGTCAAATCATAGAAGCTAAGACCGAAAGGGTACTTGGGAAGACAAACAATTTGGCTAATTTCATAACAAACATCTCTCCAGTACAAATGACTAGCATGCTGTTAATCTTACTAGCTCTACTTGATTTACAGTACACCGTATATGCAAATGTAATCCCAATTTAGTGGTACTCAAAATCCCTTTCGGTATTAGCTTCTATGATGTGACCTTTTCAAACATGACTACGTTTTCTCAATTAGGTGTATTCACACTAAATACTAAATGATTTAGTCTTTGAATGATTTAATCATGAATTGTTAGTTTACGTACCCTGTTGCTATGGGTGAAAATTCTTGAAGGAGACAAAACAAAACTCCCATAACGATCTTACACAGGAGACTCATCGAAGCAATCATGAATGCACCRGAACTCTGTGAAACAATTATGAAAGACTGTTATYACTAACTGAAAAACGATTGAAAATTGACCATTAAAAGTACGGATTGGAAAGTTTATATTGGGAAAA